GTAGTCGAGTAAAAAGGTGGATGGAATCGACTTCATCTTTTCATGCTTATATGAAATGTGAGATCTAATTAACGTATTTAGCCAATCATAAGTTTTACCTTGAGCCTTTACGAGGATTAGGTGTTTTCTCTCGGTCGTGGAGTCGTCTATAATCAGTTAGATTCTGTTTTGGTCATGTTTATTGTCTTCGAAATCTGCACTTGATTCGTTATAATGAATTAAAAAAATTCGCAGATTTCGCAATCCTTGCAACCAAACTTATAACATCGACGGAATCAGAACCACATGGGGAACGGTCCACAACAACCACTCACAGTATGATTAAGGGGTAATTCTAATAGCACCTTATTCACACCATCAATAATAAAAAAGTAATTATTAGTAGAAACGATTTGAAGGTATCGTCGTTTATAAATTTCTAAAATAAATAGAAGGAAAAAGTTTGCGGTCATTCTATGCCGAGAATTTCATATATAGGCTCTTATAACACGCCTTTTGAGTGACAAAGATGTATAATGTCACTCAGTCAATATAATTTTGAAAGTCATTTAGAAAAATTCGAGGGTCTTTTGTTAAGTATTATTCAAAAGGGTCCTTTGTATAAAATACGGCATTTAAAAATATCGGATATTTTGACACTTCTATTCTGGGCATTGTATAAAGTATCGTCCACAAAAGGAAAGCAAAAAAGGACAAGCAAATATGTTCACGCCTTAACGATATTAATTAAAAAGCATACTTTGATAGACTGCCAGATTTTCTACAGTAGGTAATCAATATAGCGAAAATTAAAGTTTTGTCACGCTGATAAGATGGCCCAACAATGGACTTAATTAAGAATATGGCGACACGAATCGATTATTAGCTGTCCTATTCAGAGCTCCTACAAAAAAGCTTACGTAATCGTCACACTAATCTATGCTACAAAAGGAAGTAAATACCTTCGCACCACCCTGAAGCTTTTTAAATTTGAAAGTGAAACAATTGACTCGCCAGATTATTTTTGTTTATTATGTACCTATACCATAACAGATCGCGTGTGGATACGGTGACACAAAAGTGGTTGGCATTTTCTTTTAAAGGGAAATTGCTGGTTGTCGCATTACGAAACACGCACGTATGGAGTAGGGCTGGAAACGTTACTCTAATAGAATTCTTTATTTCCAATATGCTGACTCTGATTACTAATAAATATGCTAGTGCCACTTTATTGGATAAAGTACATTCTTGTTTTGTTGACATTTTCAGCTTGTCTTTAGGGTTTTTATTATTGATACCACTACCCCATTGGTGAACGTTACCATTTTATTTCTCCACAGAAACACTGTGACGGTAAAATTAAAGTTAAATTAAAAGCGATGGGGAAAAACACGACTAGGGAAATTGCATAAAATTTACTATTGAATTTTACACTTGAACCTAGGCTATAATAATTGTTGTCCCCTTTCTTTTGTTCTACCTAAGTAGATGAATAATTTGAGACCACCCTTAATACAAATAAAGTTTTGAACGTTTATGACTTAGTAGGGGGTGCAATTTTTTTAACATTTTTCATTAACTAACGGATGGCATATGCTGTCATTATTACCAGAATTATTACCTTCGTTGTTACCTATACCTTTTACAAAAAGAAACGTTGTTCAGAATGAAAAATTGAGAAAACGTGCAAGGTTTCAAAGTCCTAGCCCTACTTTGAATTGTTGTATGTTATTCTTTAACTGAATTTTTTAGGAAATCCGAAGAAATGTTGCTTAAAAAAACTGTTTAAAATAGAATGTAATGACCGCGTAGCAAATTTGAAGCCGATATTTTATTTAAAATATTTAATGTACTTAAATTTAGGATTTATTACCGAAGTGTATCGACTTCAAATTTGCTATACGGTCATTACATTCTATTTTTAACAGTTTTTCGGGTTTTCCTCACAAAATTCAAATTCACAATTTTAAAAAAATGCTATTTATGTTGATGAATGTTCATCCATTAACAAAGCAAGAAAAATATGCGAACAGTTAATAGATATACTCAAAACGGCGAACTTAGAAAATGATCTACAAATCATCCAATTTTATTAAAAGACCTTCCCCAATCCCACCAAGATCTTGAAAGCTTTGGAGTTTAGGACTACAATGGGACCGAAAGAAATATCCGAAAAATGGATAGTATTTAAGACAGATTTGGGATTAATTAAATCAATGCAGATTCCATGGTATATATTGTTTGATGGCGGGATTAACATTGAAATTCATGGGTTTTCAGACGACAGTGAAAAGGTTCTTCTTAGAGACTAAAGTTCATTCGCAACATTTAATTGGCCCAATTTCATTGGTTCACTTATTGACAAATACGCGCCCAAACGCTCCATTTTCTTATCCAACACTTCTGAATCTTGTCAGCAAGACGTGCTATCCGTTCAATAATATCAAAATGTCAAACGTCCTCGAAACAACCTCCAATGGGCAACCTTCCTTTGTTATGGGTTTCCGAAATCGAGCCTTTTTCCTATGCTGGTCCCTTCCAAATTACATTAGGAAAATAAAGGTGCCAAAAGGCATATATGTATATCCATTTTTCGTTTCTTTTGCTACAAGGTGCATTTATGCTTAGAACTAGCGTCGGACTTGACTAGTGAAACATTTATAGCTTCTTTCACGCGTTTCATTGCACGTAGAAGAAGATGTTCAATAATTCATTCCGATTGCGGAACAAATTTTGTAGGCGCTATGAGAAGTTTTATACATTTATAACTCAGATAGAAGCCCTATTGAATTTTCGCCCCCTATACTTGACACCGGGACATCTTCTTACGTTGGAGCTGGAGCCGTGGAGTTCAGTTCCTAACATTTAATAAGTAGATTGCAACTGCTGCAGCGTCTTCATAGACACTTTTGGGATAGATGGCCAAATGAATATTTACATACATTAACGTTTGGTTCAAAAAAACGACTACGTTCAAAAATTATTTTCCTGATGCAAATTATGAGTGTAGGTAACAATTTTCTTAACGATATTTGAGGGATGACAAGTGTAGATATGTTCCAGTCACCTAAATAACTATTTGATCCGGACCACCGCTTAATTGTACCTGCATTCTTTCATTACTTTTGATCAAGGAAAACGTCTACATTCAATTTTTAAGGAGTGATAAGTGTAGATTACGTTTAGATCAAACACAGGGGCGGACTGGCCCGGGGGGGGGGGTGGCGATTGACACCTGCCAATGGCCCGTTGGAAATTTATAAGTATGTGCTGTATTTAGTTTCTTGCACTATTAATAAGTTATTAACACGTTTCTCTAATTGGGGTTGATGTTAGTGTTTTACAATGAATTTATCATTTTTTGTCGTAGCATGAAAGTGATGAAATACAATGATAGGCGACGCGCCTCGTTTGGTTTGTATATTTTGTTACTTTTAATTATCAGCTGCAATTTAAAAAAAAAAACTGTATTGTAATTGATTTCCGAAAAAGGAGTACTTTAAAATGAAGCAAAAAATGTTTTTGTGGTGCACCGCAGAGCTAACCCCCCGCCACCTTCATTACTACACTAATACTTTAATGGCCCGTAACCTATGCAATTCCACCTGGCCCGCCCCTGACTAGAAACCAATTTCGAAAGAAAATTCAAAGGGCTGTAACTTTTGAACTAGTAGCCCAATCTTGGAACTGTTTGAAATTATGGATTCTACAGGCCACATTCTATAAGAAAATTTTTTCCGGGTCGATCTGAGACAATTTTTTTTTCGGGGCTCAAAAAAAGGCAGTGTATAACCTTCCTTTTTTACCAAAAATCGACTGCACCAAAATTTCTCGGGAAAACACTTTTTCTTATTAATTTTGGTGCGTAGAATCCAAAACAATTCGTACTTTTTCGATCGGACTTCTCAATCAAAAGTTATGGGCTAGAAACCAATTTCGAAAGAAAATTCAAAGGGCTGTAACTTTTGAACTAGTAGCCCAATTTTGGAACTGTTTGAAATTATGGATTCTACAGGCTACATTCTATAAGAAAATTTTTTTTCCGGGTCGATCTGCGGTGCACCAAAAAAACATTTTTTTGCTTCATTTTAGTACTCCTTAACATTTTTTTGCTTCATTTTAGTACTCCTTTTTCGGAAATCAATTACAATACAGTTTTTTTTTAAATTTCAGCTAATAAACATTATTATTATTATTAACAACTAAATAATTATTATCGGACCACCCCTAAATTGTACTTGCATTCCTACATTACTTTTGATCAAGGAAAACGGCTATATTCAAAAAATTATTTCCATACAATTTGAGAATGCATGTATCAATCAAAAATTAGTTTTTTTAAATAGATTATAGTCTGTATAATTGAAACAACCAGAACTTTCAATATGGCACTACTGTATCAAAAGCTATATAAAGTCTTCGAACATTCTTTGGAAATCAGTTCTTTGCCCATAACTTTAAATATACAGCAACGTGAAGAAGAACAATGTATTTTATGAGGCGAACTTGGGGAGAAACTTGAGGGAGGCTTATTTATGAAAAAGGCGGGAACATGTAGGAGAACTCGAAAGAAACTTATAGAGGTACTTGATGGGGACAATGGATTTTAGGGAAACTTGAAATGAAGATTGAGGGACAGTAAATGACTGGGGTTAAATTTGGAATTGCAATTTTGAATAAGTAAATATGACATAATGACGAATTAGTAATAACCCTGAAAATGTGCGACTCTGGTGTTTTCTTATGGTACCTAATTATTATCGAACGCCATTGATTGAAAACGCAGACTAATCCGAAAATGATTGTTGTTGGGATTCAAATAACTGTAGTACTTTAGTTTTGACCATGGTTTCATGGAATAACGATACTGAAAAATGTCACTTGCTATAGCAGTAGCCAATTTCTAAGGGCGGTAAAGTCGCAACTTGTTCTCGTACACGGATTTACACAATGTGAGAGTATCTTACTCTTCTAAGTCATAATCTACATCTTCCACTCTAATATAAATTGAGAAAACTTACCGTGCAAATTGTCGGAGGTTGAAAAATCCGTTCCCGATCCTCCCGAGCGACTGCACTGCATGTAGCTGCTGATGAAGGTCTTGGAGGTGACGTCCCCGAGGAATTTGCCGGTGAACTACCGGGTCTACTCGAAAGAACTACCGGTCGCGATGTTGTACAAGTGGAGGTGAGTTGGTCACTGTTTGCAACAGTGGTTAATGGTAAAGTGTCCGATGGGCGGAAAAACCAGGACGCTACTGATGCCCACTGAAACAAAACAAAAAGTAGATGAACATGATGACTCTGTGTATGTAAACCGTGAGAAAATTGTTACTAACAATTATTCCCTGTACAATGCGTACAATATTTTAATCTCAAGTGAAATCATTTATTTAAACAAAACCATACTCCAAAAAATAAATATTGAGTGTTAACGAACTTAAAAGTTTAGCTAAGAATTAACTGTGTATCGCTAAAGTATTTTTGTAACGTTCTAATGGAACCACTCGACACATTATCATTATTATTTTAGTGACACATTCAAAACACGTGCTCGATAGTGGGTGTAAAAATATACGGTGTTTAATTACCTAAGAAACATGTCTGTCAAACGATGCCTTTTATTTATAACTGCAGAAAAGTTATCAAAATAATGAGATATCCTAAATACTAAACAAACTAGGAAAAATAAAGCGGTTTGGGAAATGAAAAGTGATCGCGGGGAATAATTGAAACATACTACTCCATGTTAATTTACAATTGGCAAGATAACGTAATGATGAAATACCTACTCCAACAATTTTGTGTTGTTTAAGGAAAAGCGTTTAGACTAAACAGCTTCCGTATCAGAGGGGGTGGTGTAAAATGCGCCCGTCTTTACGGATGCATGAACAAAACATTGCATTCAAATTGTGTACATCTTAAAAGTAATGGCAACAGTAAATTGTGTATTTACATTTGCTTTTTCTTAATAATAACGGTTGCAATTTTATTGTATTACAGTATAGTTAAGATGTAGGGTTGATATATGAAGGAGTTCTTCTCATCGACGAAATAATGTTTTTAATACAAAAAATGAAAGACAATGGCAAAATAATCTACTCGAAGGGCCATTTGTTAAAAGCAAAATTATCCTTAAAGAGTATTATGGCAGTAATTATCAAGTTACCAAGTGACAACCAATTTAATATTTTTGTTACCTTGAGTCTTGACTACTGATTACCAAAATTTCCCTCGTTTATCCATGCACCTCAGGCGTGAAACGGCGGTATTTCCAGAGTTTTCAATACTCTATTCTCTAACTTACCGCATAATAAGATCTTTTTATTAAAGATGCTATCTTAGCTGCCCTTTAATGGGAAATACACAGATTAAACATTACTCCGCTGTGTTATACAAACTATTAATGAATATTTATGAATTTGTTTGTTTCAAATAGATTAAATCTTTGATTCTATTTAAACATAAAAATGTCTTTTTCCCCAAGACAACAAAATAAAATTGAGAATTACGTGAGAGATTCTATTATATTAACGTATGGTAATGTAATTCGTAATTTTAGACTTTAATTACAAACAGTATGCCGTTTTACAAAAAAAGAAACAATGCCTTTTATCTCATCCGCGATCTTAAATCTACCTAAAAAACACACGGTCAACAAAATATATTAAATTGGTGTTATATAATAATTTGATCCTTATAGTAATCATTTTAAGGCTTATTAGATACCACATGCCAGAAGTGCTATTACAGCAACACACGAAATGCACTCATACGTTATTGGAATTTTCATGACTGTGAAATAATTAATAGGTCACTTAATCATAGCAGATTCGTTAAACTTGTTCTATTCGGGTCAATATAGTTATCGTTATTAATTATTTATTATATTTGTTACACCCATTGGCATACAAGTAAAACCGAAACCAGTGAATACCTACTTTATCTTACACAATTTGTGCATACACTATAGATATTAATAAATTACTCTGCACGCTGAAATTATATTGTGACGGTAAACATCGCTACATGTTTCAACATTTCAATTTAACTGAGCATGTTGATGCGGAAGGATTGGTGAATTCCAATATATAATTATTTTTAGACGTTAAACCGAACCATTTTTAATATTTAGAAAAAGTTTACTGCAAAGGAGTTTGTATTTTGAACCTTCGGTTTGGTTCAGCTTCCCTCTTACCCAATTTTTGTATTACTAATATACCTACCCTGGTACACGGGCAAAATGAGCCTACATTAAAAATCGACTGTAATGGGAGCTAGGAAATTACGATTCCTGGTCCTGCTATTAAATTCAAGCTGGATTTTGACGGATACGCATCAAAATCACTAGGATTTTTCCAAAATGCCAAGAAAGGCGATAACAACTCGCTGAAGACAGGAAGTTAACTTCATGATTGCAAAAATGATGCGCATGTAGTTCAACCATATGGTGCAAGTAAATACACACTTGACCCGATTCTTAAAAGCCCACTTTCTCCAAATCAGGCAAGAGGGATAATGGGTATAGTTTGCAAATAACGTCATTTAGTGATTTTGCGAACTGGCCTTATTTACTTAAAGTGCATGTTTTAACACAATGTTCAATAAAGTTCAAGCAACGGCCTAAATTTGGTTATTTTTCATTAGCGAGAAAGCTCCGAATGGTTTTAGCGTTAAGGAAAGGTAGGGTGTAGTTTACATGAATCTACATAGTATTGTACTCGTAAAATTTCCCCCTATCGCATAGTAATTTTCTGTTTTACTTTCGAATTCCGTTTATTAAGAATAGTGTTAAGTATCAAACGTGTGGGGTTCCGACTGTGTATTCAAATGACATGGATCTAGTGATGTATGTACTACTGCTTTATAGTGGAATGTTGTATTTCCTGACATGGCGACGCTTTAAAAACAAATAGCTGCTCTCAACTAGATTGGATTTCGCGGTTTGCATTTTATATCAGCTACCTTATCCATGAACATCGTATGACCGTATTGCCTTTGGCGATTTTAAGATGGACGCATAACACGGTCTTCAAATTTAGGTATTCAGTGTTGAATACAAATACTGAGAGCAAATTTCGCTTAAGGGTAAAGGGATTTATTAGTATATCTACCCTAAATGCGGCACATATTTTAAAAATACTTCAGAGAAGCGAGAGTTAATTTTATAACATGTAGTTGAATGCTTTCAGGCATGTGAAAGGAGTTGGATAATTTTTATTATAGGTCCCTTTCCATATTGATGTTCGAGAAATTTATGAAAATATATAATAATTCCGCATAATTAACAATTTTAAGCGCTTGTTAATTTATCAAATTAATTTTTTAACTTTTCCACAACATTTTCTAAATATTTAGCAGGGCATAATTATATTTCGATTTTGCAGAATATTCATTATTAAATAGTCTTCCGTTTCGCTTAAAACGGACCAACGGATTATAATCGAGTTTTAAATCTAAGCTGTTTCGCTAATTTTTTACTGTACATTCTCGTTATTTGCCTAAATTAAGTTCACGGCACTCCCAAACCATCTACCTCACTTCTCTTTCATCAATAATGCAAAGGTAAGCTCCTTTAATCGCCAGTTTTGCACATCTTGACCATTATTAAACGCGAAACTTCATCATATTTAACAAGGTAACTAATGAAAGTTTACACAGACTTTTTTTGCTATTGCTGTCTTCCATGCAGTAAATGATGTTTCCCGCATTTCCAGCAAAGGCTGAAAGTAGGTACCTATTGTGAGGCTGAGAATCATGAGGATCTCTATCGCAGCCTCTCCTGGTAAATTTTTAATATGCCACTATTTTCTACATTTCTGTACAATGCACCATACTGCTACAATGAAAAATAGATTGTAATTTAAATTACACAACCAAAGACCTTTTCGATCAATAAACGAATAGTGCGGTGAAGCAGCAACTTATATTCCTATTTTTGCATCACCTGTAGCATTTTGCAATAGCACCCAACTTTGATTCATAAAAATGTAATAGGAGTGAAGCATTTGAAACTCTTATCTCCATTCAGACAGACAGATTTCATAAACAAACTCTTCGCTTCTCAATAAAATACAATAGCCAATTGTTAACCGCCTGGCCAAGTACAGTGGATCCACGAATATTATGCATGTGTCTACAATTTCTTAACAAATAATTAAATTAATAATGAAAGAAGAAGACACGCAGAACCTCCTCATCCTTGTTGATTTATTAGTTATTTAGCGCTAGCAAATAAACCAAGTGTGGGTAAGGTTTTGTGTTACTTTTCCTTTAACTTGCTCCATTTGGAGTCACATTTAGACATCTAGCTCCTTCTCTTGCAGTAATTGTAATTTGTTCTTATAACTAAAGATTCAAGATTTTACATGCACGCTGGATCACACGCGTACTGAAGGTGGATGCAAATGGAGAATAATCAACGAGAGAGAATTCTGTCTTTCGAGGGTGGTAAGAAGGAAAATTTATTTTTCTCAAAACTTTAGTTAATTTTTAGCTCTTTTGTGTCCTTTCTCATGCAGTAATTGGAATTTCTGTTATATAATCGGAATTTATTATTTTATGCACAATCGATCACACTGAAAATGGGTTCAACTAGACTACGATTGGCAAGGAAGTATTTGACTTCTTTCGGGGTTAGTACGAAGGAAAACTTATTTCTCCAAAAATTGTAATTCATTTCTAGATTTTTGTGTTCTCACTTCACCTGGAGAAGGACCGAGCAATTGAAAATTTATTTTTCTCAAAATTTTAATCGATTTCTCCTGATTCCTCTTGTAGTAATTGTAATTTGTTTCTTAATTCGAGATTTACATTCACAATGGACATCACACTGAAGATTGAATTCAACTGAAGAAGGATCAGCAGTGAGGGTAGGACTTCTTTAGAGGGCAATACAAACGAAAACCCATTTTTCTCAAAATCTTAATCGTTTTCTAGCAATCTTGTGTGCTTTTCCTTGTAGTAATTATAATTTTTTCCTTACAACTACAAATTCGAGATTTACATAAACCCTGGACGTTACACTCTTAGAGTAATTGTAATTGTCTTTTAGGCACATGCACAATCTGTATCACATTGAAAGTGGATTGGACTGAAGAAGTATATGGGCGAGGGACAATTCTACTTCTTTTTAGGATGATAAAGAGAAAAAAGCTATTATCCTCTAAATTTTAATCAATTTTTACTTTTTTTGTTATTTCTCTTGCGATTATAGTAATTTTTGTACTTGTGCTATGCGATCAAAAATGAGTTGCTGTCGAGTCACC